GGAATGGGGGGGGTGTGGTGGGTGTTTTTTTTTTTTTTTTTTTTTTTTTTTTTTTTCCCAATTTCTAAACAAATTATACATTTGTTGAAGAGTAAGTACAAGGAATTCGAAATTATTTCCGCAAATTTATGATCTTTGAAAGGTATCGTGTACAACATTTTTAATTGGAATTAAAAAAAAGATCTTTTTTGAATTGAAACTAGCTACATTCGTATGTGATAAACATCCAACGACGAAAATCGGTGGACACGCTGAATAAACTTTTTTTTGTTCCTTTTTTAGAATATAATTGCAAATGGGCAGGCGTGTAACTTTTTAAGAAAGGGTTATTGAGAGGAAAAAATAATAAGGATAATTATCTTTTAAATTTTGTATTTATCTTAACCCTAGAATTTAGAGATTAGATTAGTTATTATGATTTTAAAGTTTGAATTATTTTTTTAAAGAAAGGTTGATTTTAAAATCTAATCCAGAAACCCAATTGAACAGGAATCAAGGAGTGATGGCATGAACGATTAGCGGGCTTTAACCAAAAAGGTATTTGAGTAGCAAAAAAATATCCCAATGCCGAACATTCGATGCAAGTTTCAATCTCCGGAAACTGTTGCTTTAATGGTGAAGTCATTTGCTCAAGGCTAAACTGCTCGTTTTCATCTCTCAAATCTTGTTTACAACCCACAACTATTACTGGGACCTTCACCTGCAACATAAGTATGGAAAATGCATGCCTCCATTAAGCTTATATTCTCATTTTGTACCAGAGGTTAAGGTTTTCTTTCATCACATTTTTCTTTTTTTCTTTTTCTCCCCTCTCTCTCGTTCCAAAAGAATTTATGGAAGTTCTCCATCATGATAATTGTGCTCATCGTGGAACCAAAAAGAATTTCTGGAAGTTCTCCATCATAATTCTTTTTCTCCGCTGTCGAATGTTAGATTAAATGTAATCTTTCGATCTAAGGTCGAATTCGAAAAGAGGCCATTTCTTCTTAAATTCGTAAAGACTAGCCCTCAAGAAGCGCGGGAAAAATGAAAAGACATTTTGATTGAGGCAGCAGCTGGTGGAGCCTTCCAACGGTTAACCACAACAATCTTCTTAGGATCTCAGCTGTTGGATTGAAAATCCAAGACTCAATCTAAGCTGTTGCGAAGAATTTTCACACAACCATTTCCATCTTTTGAGTTTCGCAACATTTGCAGGTAAAAATCTCTCCCAATTTCCTCACGTTTTTTATTCTCTCTCGAATTGTTCGTGTTGTTTCGAACCTGTTAATTTGTGATCTTTTTGCTATACGTTACCAGAAACTTGTTTTTACAAAACATGTCTGGTAAAATAAGTCTATCGAAACCAAGCACGTCAATTTCGATTCTGATCTTGACATGATTGGAAACCTGAAGATGAGAACAAAATATCTCGTGCCAGAGCGATGTCAAGACGAGAATGAGAAGCCAGGCATAACAGCTCAACTAAACTTGTCTCTTGATAATGCCAATAAGAAGATCATAAATTAGATTGTCAATAATTGATGAGAACAAAATGATTGTGGGCTATATCAAATGCAATACCACCTTTGGTGGATTTGCTACGAAGCGAATCGTCTGATTCAGCCTATGGTATAATGGAATGGGTTCATATGTCCCCCTTTTCTGTCCCCTTCCGTATCCCCCTAATAATAACATACCAAGTCATGACTTTTTAATTAATGTGATAAGAATCTTTTAATTAATGTGACATTTTAATTGATGTGATATTTTAATTGACATGACATAATATTATTTGAGGGACATGAAAGAAGACAAGAATAAGGAGACACGTGAGTTGGTTCTCTGATATAATTACTACTTAGGCTAATTTTTTTTTTCTAGCTATAGTATTTTGATAGTTTTTATTTTTTATTTTTTCTTTTTTAAAGCTATGGAAACTGCAGCGAGGATGGAAGGTTGATGCATGAACAAGTAGCACGCATTGTCATAAGAGTAAATTCCGCATTGAGTGCGTTATAGGCTTTGGGCAATTTAGCTCTGACGAGGATCCTTTGAAATGGGAACAATATTTTGGAAAATATATAATGGAATGTTTATTAGTCCTAAGAGTTCATAAAGATGTTTTAAAAAGCTGCCAATCCTACATGATCAGCAGCAGCAACTGGATAATGACATATATCTTTTGATATTAAAGCCTTTCTTTTTAGAATAGTACTCTCTCCAATACTTTTGGTGCTGAAAATGCTCTATAAATCTTGGTAATTCTATTAGTGCTTGTTATTAATTTAATAATGAGTGCTTTTAATAGTTACTCTAATATTTATCACAACGTCCTACTGACACTGTCAGCCCTTGTTTTTCTGACTTACAAACTTGTAGAGGGAACACCTCTTGAAAAGTATATAAAAAAACACTACGAATCATTGTGGTCATCTATAGTCAAGTTTCGTTGGCTGATGCTCGTTATCGAGGCGATTGATCTTTCATCTAAAGCTTTGGCGTTAAGTGATAACTCCATCCATTTACCGTTGAGGAGAAAACTGGATGAATCAGTCTTCCAAACATTGTAGGTCTTGTATGGGTATTACTATTACCACACTGAAGAGTTTGTGTGGAAGGGTTGAGAATTCTGTTTTGAGAATTTTGTGACTAACAGAATTTTCTATTCGTGAAGAATGTTCCTTTTATTGATCATAGATTAACTATAGACACTGGTATTGCAAAGGAGAAGTGAAAGATTATTATTTATAAACCTCCAGAAAACAAAAGGCTTTGTTCATAATCAATGTGGGGACAAAGGTCTTCCTATGAGGGACTTGGACAAAGAGCCAAAAAAGAATAAAAAAAAAAACTAACAGATTATACATTCCAACATATACTCTCTACATGCCTATACTCATTAAAGTCGACATCAAATTCATTCAAAAATTTTATATTACATGTCGAGATGTATGCTTGCACCAATGCACAAATTAGATGCTAATCATATTGGTGTGACTATCGTTCATCTTTAATAAGAAACCTCTGAAACCCCGTTGAGAAGGCAATAATCTTATATTTTAAAGTCTATTGATCATGAGCTATATAAAAAAAAAAAACAAATAAGCAAGCTAGTGTAGAGGCCACAATAGGACAATTAAAGAAAGAAAGGAAAAAGACCTAGATCTTTTGTTCTTGAAAATAGAAAATGCCATAAAATACAATAAGATCATAGACAAACAATTAGTTCTACAATTAACTAGATTATTATTATTATTAAACGACTACTAAGGCCTCCTTGCTAATTACCGACACCACTAAGGCCTCCTTGAAATGGTACAAAACATTTAATAAAAACAAAATGTTCACAATTATGGGCCTTCATGAGTAAGACTACTACGAGGAGAGCATCACACTCAACAAATTGGATTTTAAGACCACATTTCACAAAGAAATAGCAGACGTTCTCTGATTATATATATATATATATATATATAGTTTTAAAGTTCATTAATCTTGAGAGAACTAATGCAAGTTGTACCGCGAAAACATATAATTATTAACTAATGCATGAATATAATTCTTCCATATAATATATTGCAAATTAATGAAACGGATTATAATATAATAAATATGTTACAGGGTGCGTGAATATAATTCTTTCATAACTGCACATAATGAAACGGGTTATGATATGTATATGTGTAGTACTTAAAGGGTGTGTGATAATTAATATAGATCTAGATAACTTGTTGTCAATTATGTTATACGTCATATCCCATGCATATGACAGGAGACATACAGAAAAATTATTATAAAACAAATGATCACATATATCTTAATCTCTAGGTGTAAAACTCAATACGTATTGAATAAGTCTTTCTTTTATCAGGTCAAAAAAGATCAAATTTTTTAATTAATCTTGGAGACTCCTGGAATGTTGCGTGATCATGATGTGTACAGGGATTAAAGATTTTGATTTCATTGTCTGCATGATCAACTGCTCTCTAGATTTTTTTTCAAGAAAAGGGTAAAAGTGTATTTTCAAATAACGATTTTTGTGATATCCATTCCCCAACAAGACAAGTGTATATTCATAGGATGGTCCAAACTACAATTGGTATTTGAATTTTCAAAGCACGAGCTTCCGAAAAATATTTAACGTCAAGCAAAAATAAATAAATAAAAGGAAAAAGGGAAAATAAAGAATTGAAAAAAAAAACCCTTATGAAAGTTTATAAAAAAAGATAAAATTTTATTTTGATACTTTGTGTTATATCGACATATGTGTTTAATATTATTTTTTTTTATAATATCAAGTAGGTACCTCTACATTTTATAAAATGTTATTTTTGGTACCGTGAGACAAGTTTTTATAACATAAAATGATAAATTTACCCTTATTAATAATTTTTCATTTGGTTGACCAAATGGAAAGTTACATGCTAATCAATCAAATAGGAAAGTATTACAAGCTAGTTACAGGCTAAACAACCAAATAGAAAATTATTGATAGGAAAAAATTTGTAGCGACCCTCCTTTGAGGCCGCCACTGTAACTAACTTTTTAACTTGTACTTACTGAAATTTCTTAAAATTTACGGAACATTTTTTTTTTAAAGGTCTTATAATAAACATAAGATACAAAATTGCTTTCTTAATTAAAATATTTAAACCTTAACATATCTGTTTCAGAATCATAATTAACAAAACTATTTATAACATAAAGCTGATTGCGGAAATATTTGTGAGTGGTATCCATATCCCGAGCCCCACATCGTTCGTCCACTCGCCAGCAGTCCATCAGGCATTATATGCCGGTTGCTTACCTACAGTATAAACATTCTAT